CCTCTCACAGATTAAAGCGTGAAGAAGTTTAAAAGCAGTGTATGAATTTCAAACAACACTTGAAAGCTCAGAATTCATCAAACTAGAGCTTTCAGTATGGTGAGAAAAACTGAATCAAGACTAATCAACTGCCTTTCACAGCATCCATTTAAGACAACACCTGATGTCCTGGAGATCAAGTGGAAGCACATTGAATGGGAATATAAAGAAAGTTTACTGAGGTTTTTGCAGGTTAAGGGAAAAAAAAAATCCAGTGTTTTTTTAGGATAAAGATTATTTTGAAAGGAAATTGTAAGGTAAGTTCCAAAAGCAAATCACATCAAAACCCCCTGGGAACTGAAAAGACATGCGATGTAGAATATTCACAAGGGCCTGAGGCCAAGTTGCTCTATTAAAGTCTTATTTTTATACTGGATAAAACAATTTATGTTACACAATTCATCTTTTTCAGACTTTAATTCAACAGTTACCTGAAAGGTATCCAGTGCACTAAGGTGTCCTATCAGACGAGAAAAGCTTTGTGCATTAAAAAGTATCACAGCCTTCCTGGCATAAATTAGTCAGGCGGACACTAGTGCCAGTTCATCTCGTGCTTTGTGCCACTTCAGACTATTCCTAACGGCAACTCTGAAACTCACGTTGACTAAAGTTAATAAAATGTGTCTGTGGGACGGATGCCTGCCCAGCTCGCAGGGTGGCAGGGCCCAGGGTGTCAGGTTAAGGAGAGAGGCTAAAGCAGAATTTATCCTAATTTCCTGAAAATTCTCCTGGATAAAGATGCACAGTTGTGTTAACAGGCTATGCTCTCTCTACAGCAGCTTCAGGGGAGGATCCAGGGCAGAGACAGAGGGGGAATGGCCTCAGATCTGAGGAATTCCTCTCTTCTGCCTTGAGCAGTGTGAAGCAGGTTCTTCCCAACTTCCTCTTCACTCCAAATGCCCCACTCCAGCCCCAAATTTGGATGCTAGGGACACCTCACAATTTCTGGCTGAAGAACATTGACAGTGAAAACACCTTCCATCTGCCATGCTCTATCCCAAAGTAGGCATGACGACACTCGTTACGCTTTGATATGTCCTTAAAAATCTGCACACATGCCACATACGAGTATTACTTCAGCATTCATTAAGTTAAATAAATGATGTTTGAAGTAAAACGTTTTTATAAATTTTTCTTCAGGCAAACACTGAAATATTTCAGACACAGACTGTGCTGGTGGATTCACATAAGGGATGAAAAGATCTGGACCATCAACCTAGCTCCTAGTTTTGTATTAAGTAATGATGTGGCCTCTATAATAGCAGGAGCCTACGTATAAAGTGTTTAGAAACACCTCTTCCATTTTCTGTTTAATTTCCTCTTCCCTTGTTTTACCCCATCCTTCTTCACAGAATGCAGGAGTTGAAAGAGAAATTAGCCCAGATAACAAACACCAGAGGACAGGAACCACAGTGCTCCCTCTTGTGTAACAAGAAAAAACACAGGCTCCATACCTGCACTGGGGCATCCACAAGAATTAGTAATTTGGTCAGAAAACATGTGAAAAGTTCAGAAGACCCATACAACTAGCTTATGAATAAAGTCTTCTGTCACGTTCCTCCAGCCCCCAAAGTAGACTGTTATTTGTGAAATACCAACTGTGACACTGAGACAGGAACTCAGAAAAAAGCATCTTAACCACTTTAAAGCAAAGGCAGACGACAAAGCAAGACCTTCAGAAGGACTCTGCCAAAGAGGCTAGCTTAATCTGTTCTTTAAAACAGTTTAAAGAAAACACGCAGTTAGCACTTGCACAGTTCCAGGTTAATTCAAATACCTGGAAAAATACTAGCATCGACTATGCTTGAAGATTGGATTACTATCAACTACAGCCACCTGAAGAGCACAACTCGGACAAGCAGAGGAGCCTTGGCAGAGCTCAGGTCTTTAACTCCCAGTTACCGGAAGTTCACCGTGTTTCTCAGCTGTAACATGCCTCACATCCACCATTTATTCAGTCCTAGTCAGTTGAATATAGCTCTCAAACATCATTCACACTAAGTCACCTTGAACGCTTACAGAATAAGAGACAACTTCCTTGCTTGATTTAAGATTACTGTAAATGTTAAAATAACTCTAAGTAGGGAACACGGATTCATTCCATTATGTCCTTTCTAGTACTTTCTCTCTAAACATCTCAGGAGTTAAGCTTTAAGAAATAATTGAACAATGAGCCCTATCCTGGAATATTAAGATTTAGATTCAAGGTTAAGTGAATTTAATCAGTCCCAACTCCAAGCAGTTCAATCCCGATCAACATTACCCTGATTTAGTGCTACAGTATGTCTTGTAATTTAGAACTCACACCAATATGCTAACGTGCTCATTACAACTTTGTTCAACTCTTCAAGTACATCCTTCTGCAAAAGGCTCTAAGAATTAACCATTACATGGTTACAAGCCACTTCATTAGCCCTAAATTAATAACACCTGGTTTCCAATGGATTTACGACTTGCAATTGATTAGCTCTTATTGAAGCTCTTCCCACATTCGGAGCACACACAGACTCTCTGTGCTGAGAGGTTTCTCTCCCAGATAAGATAGGAACTCGGAGGCAATTTTCCTTCAGTTAGGGCACTAGTCACTTCTAGGTCTCTCCCTTGCAAGAATTTCATTACCGTTAATGTTTCCACCTCTGCCACATTCAATCAAAATAAACCATCCAGTTCAAAGTTAAAGGGGAAAGCAGGCTACAAATATTTAATTCTAACCCCACAGTTTTTTAGAAACAAAGCAATCAGAAAAATCAGTTGACTATTATCCTTTGATTAGGCAATCCTAAAAACAAGAGCAAATTCAAGTTATTACGTATCCAGAGATTCCTTCTACAATGAGGAAAAGGATGAATGAACTACAGTCTGGAATACTTCTTTGATCTTTTTCAAATGGCTTGTCAAAGTTGTCTAACCATTGCTATATTGCTCTAAGTCAACATTTATACATAAACAAGTGAATTATAATGCCACAAAGGCATTTGACATGTAACAGAGCAAAAAAGGTAGTTCTGCAAGATAAAATGTTCAAGTCAAAGTAAATTTGTCTTCAGCACAAGAGCTAACATACTACACCTAATAAAACAAACATGAGGTATGTACACAGTGACACTTAATTCCTAATCCTAACATGACTGATAACCTATGCAAAATTTATAAAGTACTTCAAAAGGGAAGTCCATATTATACCCATTTTATAACTCAGTGAGTCATGGAAAGATTAAGTAACTTTCTCAGGGTCATACAGCAGGTTACTAGCTGAAGTAGAAAAAAAAAAACCAAACACTCAGGGCAACCAAATCACAGTACTGGATCCTCTTAGTTAAGCTAGCCCTCCTCCTCTTTATGAAAAACAAATTATACTGACCCTTTGCTAGCACATTGCTTACATAAAAAGGCAGCAAGCAGTATTTTCCTTCAGGCAAAAGGAACAAGAGTCCTACCAAAAATGTTCAACCTACTTTATTCCCCTTTAAAAACTGTTGCATGCAAGATTAGCTAGGTTTGCTGTACTTCTCAACTTGCAAAACCAAAAGTGAACAGAATTAAAATTTAATTTCACAATTTAAAAAAAATTAATTTCCATTTTTTCTACACTGATGTAAACACACTTCAAAGACGTCAGTTACAATGCCTTTACAGATATTCCTTGTCCTCCCAATTTCTTTTCCATCCCAAATTGTTTTTACTGGCAAAGCAACTTAGTGTCAAAGGAAAACAAATGCAAGATACTTGTTTTCATAAAAAATTAGAATTACTTTTAAAATGTTAATAAGGTCTCCATGTAATACTAAAGGCTGCTGAAGAAAACTATTTCCTCTGAAAACTGCAGTATTTTTTAATAGAAAAATATCTCCAGTTAGAGTGTTGATGGTGAAATTCTGTAACATGAGTTTACTTAATGAAACTGTGATTTTACTGCTTAACCTTTTTATACTTCACAGAAGAAACGTGGCAATTTAAAAACTCAGTTACTGTACAAAATACGGACATCACAATTCCTCAGCTAGATATCCTGTACAAAAAATATCTGCGTCAAAACCAACCAGGTATGCACATGGTAGTCAAAAGTCACGGAAGGTTTCTGAAACCTGCTTCTTTCAAATACATCTGATCTCTATGCAAGTAATTCACTGTGTGATACTACACAGATGTTCACAAACATCTACTATCCTCCTTCAACACTGCACACATTAACAGAGGATAATTCTTGTGTGTTTTATATATTTGGGAAACATAATATATGGGTCTTTATTTGAAAATATTTACAGCAATATTGCACAAACTATTTATTCTTTTGTTTATTTTGATACTCTGCAAACCATTTGAACTAAAAATTTATTAAAACAAAACTGAAATGATGAGAAAGTCTATAAGTATGCACTCTCTCCATTCACAGAACTAAAAAAAAAATTATCAAGTGCAATCAGCCTAGTGAAGCAGCTAGGTGCCTTGTTTGTTTTGGAAGTTAGAAACATATGAGAAGGCAAGGCCATGCAATGCCATTCCCATTTTTTATATAAAAATATGAAGGCATTTAAATGCCTGAAGTAATGATAAAAATCAGATTTTGCTGATTTTTACAATAAAAATATATATACTGCTTTTTAAGCTTAGGGATTATTTCAAATAGCCTTTTATTATATCAAATAAAATAAGGATTCTATTTATACAGAAAGAGTCAAGTAATAAAATGAAGCCCATACTGCTTAAGACAAGATGCATTCATGCCTCTCCCACTGGAGAGACTGGTTCAACAATTTTACAGTTAAACAGAATTAATTCTACTCTCAAAAATCCACTGACCTTAAGCTTTTAACAAACATTTTCAACTGCAGAGTGTACTGTCAATATTTACAAATCCTTAAAATTATATTTCACTAGAACAGCTTTTATTTGCTATATTAATATTTCCTTGCAAATGTATGCTTATCCATATCAGAGAAGAAGAAACAGCTGCTACTCACAGGAAATCTCTGGGGTCCTACAGCAGGTCTTGGCTGGGCTGGAACTGGCAGCAAGGGCACTGAAACAAGAAGCACCTTTTAACACCGTTTGTTTTACCTAACAGTTGCTGCTGTTATTTCCAAAAGCGGTTGCAATAAGAAGCCATGATTAAAATCTGCTACATTTACCCTCACACGTCACAGTTCCTACAATTCACTTTAAGCAACCATTCCCTCCCCCACAACATGCAACAGGGCAATTAGAATTCTCCTAGTTAATTTACATAATTTAATTCTGCATTTTCCAGAATTAAATTGCTCCTTGTTGCAGGAAGGAAAACTAGAATACTTATTCAGCCAAAGATGTCTCTTAGACAAAGCTGACAGAGACTCATAACGTAATTTCATGTTTCAAATAGAAGGATACATGATTAATTTGCCTTCTCAACTTCATGCCCCTCAAGATTTCCTAGGTTATCTCCCAGTCTCACCACCAACCTCCCACAAGCATGGGCATGGGAGGCTCTATCTGGTATAAATCACTGTTCATAGGAGGGTAAAATGAGGCAGACAGTGGCAATTAACAGCAAGCAAAAACTACTCAACCTGGCCTTGCCACCATAATGGTATATGCAACTGTGATCACTGTGCTGAAAGAAAGACTGCTATTTCACAAAGAGACACCAAGAAGAAAGAGGAGACTCTCCTCCTGAAAAATAACCTCCAAAATTAGGATTTCAGGGGCATTAACCTGGACAACTTGTCCATACAACTGCATTTCAAAAGACTAGCCACAAAAAAAAAAAAATCCCAAAACATTCACTTAGTATTATGGCATAACGCACAAAGTATCTACTGCTGATCGCCTTGGGGACTGAATCTTTATTTGAATCCCCAGTACAAAGTGCAGTGACAGATTTCCCATTTTCCAGTGCAGTTTTTTTCCTCGTTGAGTTGTCTAAGTGTTAGAAGTACAAATGTTCAATGTTAAACAGAAGGCCTAGAGAAGTTTAAAGCACTTCAATCAAACAGCACTGAACGTGTTTGCTCATTTACTAAAAACTTTTAGTAAATTTATTTTTCTTCAATGTTTTTAGCATTTCTGAAAGTGACAGGGTTAAATATCAACTTTGTAGACAACTACTGTATTACACTTCAGAGCAGGAAAGATGTTAAGAAACACACCCAACTCCTCCCTTAAATTAGCTGCATTTCCCAACATCGAGTTTGATAAGACGCCTCAAAATTCCCTTTTTCCTTGGTAACTGAGGCACAAGAACTAATGCATTAGTAATTATTCTTAGTTCATGTCCATGTCTGGCTTCTATCCACTTTTCTTAAGTACTTGTGGTTTACCTAGTTCAGGGACTGACAGGGTAAACTAATTGAACCAGTCTTTCAGCACCGAAGGACTGCGTGCAAACTTTGTATCAGGTTACACAAGAAAACTAGTTGAATAGTCTCATCTTGGCTTCTAATGAACATCTGTCAATATCAAACAGCCATGGCCACCTGGAAAAAATTGACAGGGTGCTCTTGACAGACCTAGGACTAAAATAGCTCAGGTATTAGAGGTCAGAGAAGCACTGAGAAAAATTGCATAAGGTGGGAAATGTAGAGAAATGTCAACTGAACAGGGCACTTGTGTCTATTTCGGTATCCTGCCTCTGGCAGTAGCATATAGAGTTATATATATTTATATATTTTAAGCAAATGAATTTAATACTCATGAAAGACAGTAGTTCAAACTCTGTGCCCTTTCAATCCTTGGACACTTGCTGAAGCAGCAAAGAAGTCTCAAATAAGCATTCATTTTCCTGATGTCAAATATTCTGTAGGTTTGATAAGTATGTTTCAAAAATAATACACAGCATGTTGTTAGACACTATTTTAAGAAGATTAAATTGCTTTTGGCCGTAAATTCCAATGCTATACCTGAAAAGATGAAGAAACAATTCCCATATTGATTATTTAGTAGAATTATAACGTCATCTTTCCCAAGACACCAAACAGTTTTTAAAAGGTAAATGGCATACTAATCTACCGAGCTGCCGTAAACTGCTTGTTAGTTCGTATAAATTTTGGCAGCACCACAGTATCCTTGAACATTAAAGGAAAAAAACTCAATACCTATTATCACAGGTTGAATTAGTATTTCATAGTACATCTACGTACAGTCCTCCAGCATTTGTAAATCGATCATACTCCAATTTGGACATACATTCAGCTAAAAATTACTACTTACAACTCAAAACTGATTTACAGAATAGGACACAAAGAGAAAACTATATGACAAGCAAGCAACTAGAAGACATGGGATTCAAATGCCACAAAAGGCACAACTGAACGCCAACCGAACAGTATCTGCAGCAGGTATGTGCAGAGGCTCACATAACCATTTTAGGGGTTTTGATAGACTGAGTCCTTCTTAATCATTTATGAAGCTTCAAAGACTAAAAATAGTAGAAATTTGTTTGAAACAAAACTGACTTGAAAGTAACTATCTTTTTGAACCAAGATTCAAGGCTGGGCAGGGAGATGGTGGCCACTGTAAGAGATTTGCCTTTGAGACATCAAAGGAATAAACCAATGATAGGATTCTTCAGTAGTGCTTCAACTCACTTTCAGGCTGAAGTAGCTGGCTACTAGAGCTCTTATACATGCTATTTTATTCACATGAAAATTTCATAACAATTTACAGGAGGTCTGAGTCTATTTTAGAAAATACTGATATAGTCGATGCATTTCAAGACTAACTCAAACCAAAAAGATGTTGAGAAAGTATATTTCTATGATTCGCAGTTAGAAAAAGTGTCCCTGGTGCTGACAATTAAAAGTATGTGAGCTTAATCCTGCCATAAAATTAGATAGAAAAAAAAAAGCCAGTCTACACTAAAACATGACAGCACACCATTAAATTACCAGAACCTAAGTGTGCATATCATGCACTTCCAGACATGGCATTTTTAGCTTCCAGGCATCACATTTTCAACAACAGAATCCCCATAAACTTTGCACCTGTCTGACTGTACTCTCCAATGTGTAAAAACCCTCATATATCTGGAAATATATTCAGCCAAGAAGGGGCAGGACATCATCAAGAACGTGAAGTCAATCTGATCTTTCATCCTTCCTGTTACCCTGAAATAAATGACGCTGCATGTGAAACACACCCTAATATTGTCAACTACCAGTCTCTGCTTACTGGGGCCTCAAGCAGATGGATTAAACCAAGAAGGACTTTTTAAGAGGAAGTTTACAACAGCTCTCCCTACACTGGAATTTCTGTCTACCATTTGCCTACAGTGACTGCTTAAAAATTCATCTTAATATGCAAATGCCATTGAAGATTTTAGAATTATGCTCATCTTCCCTAAAGAAGACTACTGATTTCCTACACATTTTTCCTTAGGTGTGCAAATGTGTGCTTTCATGTAACAAATTGTACTGCTGCAGACTAAGAGACTGAGATGGCCACTACTCAGCCACTGCAGAAGACTCAGCTCTAATCAAGAAGCTTAAAATTCTACAGTGATTTAAAAGATTGCATTTAATAGTACGCTGCACACCTATTAGCAGAAATACTCAGTAGTCTTGCTGAGGATTCCTTCAGTAAAATGGACAGCACAAAGGTATTTCATATGAACCAGCCGCCATCAATACACATAGCAAAGATCTTCCTCACTGAAATACAGGTCTTACACCATTCAAAAATAGCCCCATTCTCCAGGGCTGCTCATTCTGAGAAGACGACTAGACTTTTACCAGTCAAGAAATGAACGTGCACACAAAGTCAGCAGGTATAAGATCCACAAAAAAGACTACAAATCCAATAGTGAAGATCTCCTAACATGCAAGAGGTACACAACTTGTTAAAATCAGGATCTGCAAGTAAAGACAGAAAAAAAGACTATGCTCAAGATAAAGCAAGGCCCCTGGGATACCCACAGTACCACAGATGTAGTGGTAAGGGTGAGACAAGCCTGAAGCCACCTGATAACGTGAAAAACCTCAGACAAAAGAAAGAAGATACACTGGTATACTTTTGACATTAGGCAAAACCAAAAATCCTCAGTAGCCATTGCTGGCATTAGGAGGAAACTTGTTCACCTAGATGCAGATGATCTGTTGACTGTTTCATGGGGGGAGAGAGGAGAGACATCTAGAATAGTCTAAAAACAATTTTTTCTTTTCACAAAAACAAGAACTGTTGCTTCGGAAATGTTAGGAAAATGCACAGAAGACATAAATCCAAGACTAAAGGACCTTTTGGACTGTTCCAGATAATCTGTCCTGATGCATAATTTGGTAGGAAGCACCGATTTTATTAGACAGGAAAAAGTGAAATAATCTCTACAATGCAGCTACTATGAAGCCATCTGTGAGAAGCCTAATAGATCTCTATCAATTGGCAATATCCTACCCTGCCAAATTCCTACCTTTCATTGGTCAAATAAATGAAGCAAAGATAGCACTGACTTGGAGTTCTGCTGATTTGAAGGGGGGAAAGATACAGACAACCTAATGCTAAATATGTATAAATATATATGTATTTCTTTACTTTGTCTAGTCCAAACAGAATCACAAATCAGAGCTACATAGATGTCTTTTTTTTTTTGTCCTCTTAGGGATTAAACACTTTCCAATAAGTAGTAATGTTAACAGCTCATTCTGAGAGCGGCCCTAAAAAGTGTAGCCCAAGGAGTGCTTGTGTTAAGTTACGGAAAAAGTGTTACTTGCAGGCTCCGAATCAAACAGTCACAAATGTGGCACTGAAAGGAGAATTGAGGGCATGTATCTTGTCAAGTAAGGATAGCAGCTGGTACCTTTCACAGAGCAATTACAGTGCAAGGAGTGCCTCAGTGTACTCTCACTGAAATAGGTGGGTGGTCATCCTGTGAATGCTTGGCTGAAGCTGGAATGATGTGGGAAATTATAAACTGCAGTACTTACCTAGTTTTGAAAACTGACATTTGCTACTTTTTAAAAGCACAGTCTCTTTTCAGTTTCCATTTTTACTGCTCTTTGCAGGCTTTACAGTAGAGTAACAAAGACGATAAAGAAGTTGAAAAGGCTTTACTATTTCAGCTGGCCACAGTCTGACATTACGTCTTACTTTAGGCAAAACATTTCTTTCAAGCTTAAGGAAAAAAAAAAAAACCCAGCCTGAAGCACATTTCCATGAAGTGATAAACAAACAAATCGTTGCATCCCTGGCAAAGAGTAAGATGAGTCATGCTCGCATGACTAGGAAGGTGTTCAGAAAGCTCACCTTGTACAGGCGTCACTACTGTCCCCTTGAAATGCGGATTTATGTGTATGTTCTTCGGTTGCTGAGGTGTCACTGGAGGTGGAGTCATCATTATTCTAGGTGTTTCTATCTGAGGGGGCATATGTAGCCCTGGAGGAGGAGAAGAATGATGCTGATGCTGTAAAGGAAGCAGAGATTGTAACTGTTGCTGCTGCTGCTGTTGTTGCTGCTGCTGCTGCTGCTGTTGCTGCTGCTGCTGTTGTTGTTGTTGCTGGAACAGACTCCTAACAGGTTGCTGGTGTGTTGGAATTAACCTCTGTGAATGAGTCTAAAGTCAGACAAAAGAATAAAGTCAATAGGCTTTAAAGTTAAAATATCCTGACATAAACCAGCACAAAACCAAGACACCTTTGGAGAACAATTAACGCCAAACATGAACAGAAAAAATTCTTTCCCATATCATCAACTGGAACTGGTAAGAACCAGCAGGACAGGAAAGCAAAGGAACACTTGAAGACATTCATATGAAGGAGAGGACGGCAAAGAGCAAGGAAGCACACAGGGAATGCAGACATTCATTCACTTTTTAACAGTGGAACTGTCTAATTTCATACGTAGGGTTCTGCATATGTCAACTGGAAACTGTTATCAACTGCAATAAGGTATATGTGACGATCACTAGAAATCTGAGTCCTAGTATCAAAACAAATCCACTAACTCTTGTCTCATGTCTAGAAGAGCCTCTCTGAGAAAACAGACCTAACAGTAGCAACAGAAGTCAAAATACAAATTAAGCTAGATTCTTAAGATATCAGTGCAGCCCACCTATCCATACTGCTTGAAGAAAAAACTACTTTAAAGATACCTTTCAAAGGTATCTTTCATAACACAAAAGAAAGTCTCTTGCTGCTCACTCTCAAACACAAATGGCCAAAATCGGTTATAATTAAAAAAAAATTAGCATCATGTTTCTCTTCAGAGACATTCTTCTGCTTCTGAACTCACTGATACTAGATATCAATCCTAGGCCAGTAACTTCCAAATGGCAGTGCAAGAAGAGTCCCAAACAGGCAACTTTTTAGTAACAAAGATGTGACACTTTTTTTCAGCAGCCATATCCATAAAGCAAAGCAGCTACAAAGTATGCACAAGAAGATACTGTGATGAGCACAATATGTTTACAACATATAAGATCAAAATAACTAGCAAAGACTGCAGCAATACAGGAGACTGCAGCAATACAGGAAAAAAACTATTCCACCTCCACTGTTAAAAGCACGAAATATTCTACTGCAAGGCTCTCAACCGCTGAGATATCCACTGACTCCTGCTAGTGATCAGCACCTAGGGTTACTGCTGTTGGAAAAAAACCCCTTTGCTTAATACAGATGACCTTGTCCTGCAAAGACATACACAGGCTTTGTTCTACAATCTCAGCTTCCAGTACATTTTATGGCAGTTAACAAAAGTAAGTGTGGGCTACCTCATGATCACACACTTGCTGTCTTTTGGGTTTTTTTTTGATGGAAAAAGTAACATCTTATAGTTTGTGATACAAAGCACGAGGGAAAAAAGAGTAACAAAGGTAAAATTGATCTGAAATCCCAAGATACTGATTTATCTAGTGGTGATTACCTTTCAAGGGTTTTATTTGCCTCCATAGTAGCATGGTAGGTATACAGATTTTTTTAGAAGTATCAGCAAAAATATTAGTTTGACAAAAAACAAGAAATATTTTACAGAATCGTATTTTTTTTAACTAAATTACAACTGATAATGTGGGACTGAACATGTTTCCATGTTGCATGTAGAGGACTTCTCAGAGGAATTAACTTTCTCTGCCATCCTTATGCAAACCAGTAAGCAAGCCTGGTTGCATTGTATGAGTCGAAATCCACTTTTCATTTGGAGGCCTTGAGATTCCTCAAGTTGAGGCTGGTAACAGGACTAAGCACATACTTTCACAATCACCACGTTACGCAAAGCCCATCTTGCCTAACAGTGCCCTGAAAGAGCAAGAAGTGTACGTTGGAATAAATATTCCACCTTCATAAAGATTCACCATTTAGAGTGTATTTCTCCATAATTTCCTGAAAGTACGTTCAAAGAATACTAAGGATTAAAAGGTACCATTGTCGATGGCTGGTTTGGCAGCAGCGCAGGCCTGTGATCCTTCATTCTTCCCCTATCATTATTGTCTCTCCTTTGTTCTCCCATTCCGTGGCACATAACCGAGCCTCCTCTTCGCCCACCTCTCCTTGAGCCGTACCGTCCCTGTTTAAGCTGCCTTTCCCTCTCTTCAAATTCAAGTAATGCTGCTTTGGCTTCTGCAGAAAGTTCTGTTAAGAGAGAGAGAGAGATGGGGAAAAAAGTATTTTAGCTTCATGCTGAAAAGATGGGAAATATCGTAAAAAAAACATTGCTGGAACTATAGAAGTATCCCTGCAGCTAACATAAAATTTGCAGGCACTTTGATCTCCTTTAGGTGGCATGTTAACATTTCATTAAAGACATCTTTAAAAGGAAAAAGCACACAGATACTTGTATCTCTTGCACAGTCAAAAAGCAGCTGGTAAATGAAACAAACGTGAACAAAAAGGTTTGGCTTTTTTTTTTTTTAAATAAATGCTACTGAAGTTTGTCTTATGCTGTAAGAGGAGGCTGTGGCTCCTCTCACATTTGTGTTATCCTAAACAACATCTCACTTATCTGCAGAAATGTCAGGCAGCACAATGAAACCCCCAGTAAACTTTACTGTAAAAGATATGTTGAGTCTTCCATATAAACAGATTTTCTCTGCCAGACTCTTTTGCACAATGGCCTGTTCCAAAGGAGGATTTTCTGGTCACTGAAGCGTTTTTGCAGTATGTAGTTACTTAATATTTTATCTATTGTATGTGGTTGAAGAACCAACTGTACTTTACAAGTGATAATTCCACTTGGAGCACACTTCAAAATCTGTGCTCAGCTCAAGTCAAATACATGGCATGGCCACTGATAACACCCACTCAACTCACATCACAGGTAAACACCAGAGAACAGATGGTACTCAATGATGACTGCCAGATTTGTTGAAACCTGGGACAATGCTTGATAACATTAAGAGAAAACCATGCAGTAACAGGCCCAGGTAATCAAATTAATTGGAAGTATAGAGAAAGTCTACAGCAAACTTCTGGAAACACACTGTGACAGTATGAGCAGTGCCACTCACCAGGTTTCAGTTACTTAAAGGGGATAAACTTCAACCCAAACACACTGCTGAGGATTTTGCCATGTGCCAGTCAGATCCCTTGTTACCTCTAAAATTCACTTCTGCCTCTAACAGGGCAAAATTAAACTACTCTACAAGAAACACATTCCTGACAAATAAAAACGTATTTTGAATTCATATAAATGGCAATTAGTGCAAGAATTCCATTTTTCCATTTAAAAAGTCTGCTCTTAATGTTAAAGGAGACGGGGTACAGGGACCACTTTTCAGGACAAAGTGGTTTTACTTGCTAATACTACACATAATGGCTATAATATCTGAAGATCAGAATAAAAATAGTTTGTATCTGGCAGCTGAGACACTACTACAACATCTCCACATCACTACATATTCTCCATCAAGAATACATAACTAAAGCAACTAGAAAACTATTAACATTTCTTGCGAGTCTAATAAGCTACCTAAACCACCATCTTAAACATCTTCATAAGTAATCTCAATTAGTCTTTGAAGCTGAGGATTGACAGAAGGGCAGAAAAGGGCGAGTGCCGTGCATTCCCACTGCAACAGTTGTTCTTACTTGGCTATGAAAACTACCTGCACAACTGATCTGCAAAGACTGTAAATTCGCATGTCCCAGTTTTCAGAGGTATTCAGCACCTCCAGAAAGCAGGGGCTTTTTGATTTTAAAAAAAAAAAGAAGTTTAGAACTTGGCTGACTGTCTAAGAACACAGCAAAGATGACAGACTCCTACAAGCTCGGAATCTGCCATATAGTTTCCTATTTCATTTCTGCATTTGGTGATGAGACAAGTTTCTCTACCTCCTTTTCTCTCCCCTCTCTGACACCACAATTAAATGGCATAAAGCTTTAATTTACAATCACGCCAGATATTCTTATGAAATGCTACCTTTGCCCTAGTACCTGCCTCGAGAGACTGGCAGAGCCCAAGACAATCAGGCTTTATCAGGAAAATCTCATAGTGTGCTTAGAAAGGGGCAAGGAATCACACTCCCTCAAGTCTTAGTATGGTATTAAATGTGCACACTATGGATTTCTGAGGAAAATTAAGACAAATGTACTCTTGTCCAAAGCAATCAAAAGCATTAGATGTGACTAAAACAACCACCTTATCCATCTTTAACTGTCAAGGATGAAAAAAGCTGGTTTAACAGGAAAAATAGAGCTCTGATTTCAAGCCTCCTTCCTGTCCACACCTGAAGCAAGTTCAGTTTCTTCACAGGCTTGCAAGTGTGAAAGGGCTAACATGGGCTTTTAGTTGGTCTGCAAGAAAGAAAGACCACTAGCTCCCATATACTTATGGGAAGAAACGGTGCCATTACATTGTAAAGCAACAGCTCTCCTCCCTTTAACCACAGAGGATCCAAATCCTGCAGGGCATCCTGGGCATGCTGCTAGTTGGAAAGTTTTCTTTTTTTTTTTTTTTCCCAAGAATAGGACAGGCAGGGCAATTTTTCTGCCATCTTCCACACTACAATCCTGAACTCAGCAAGGTAGTTCAGAAAGCAAAGTTCAGTCATAGCAACAAGTACCTACCGCTGATGCTCATTCAAGATGATAAAAAGCTATTTCCTATTAAAGAGATTAGAAGTCACATGTGAGGAAAGCAATTCTTAATGAACCGGGGAATAGAGCTAGGCTTCCTACAAGGCAAGATTGTGTCTGAGTCTCTCAGTCTCTTGAGCACATATCGAAGGACACTGAATAGAAACAACTTTAGAAGAAAGAATGGGCTGCTCCTAACAAAATGACTTCAGAGGGTTGCGCTGATTAAGCTTGGGGAAGGGATGACAGCATCCAGGGCAAAGTCAGTCCTGATGATCTTCAATGTGCAGGTACTTTTCACTCTCTTTAATATGAAAACTAATAGGCTGTTTTCCTACTCACTTTACACACAAGTTCTCAAACTTTAAAGGCTGTCTTTAAAGGCACAAGTCCACATATTCAGTTTTTCAGCCAGAAAAGTGAAACTGTGTGCAACACTGACCTTGGAAAAAAATATCCCAACCAAAACCCCCATGAATTCACTGCAGCAAGCATCATTACATTCATACCACATCTATGACCACAGAAGTACAATATAACCATTTGATTAAAAAAAAAAAAAAAAAGATTACATTAACATCAAGCATACTTCCCCCAAAACATGCCACTGAAGGCAACAGTGTCCTACCTGTGAAGAATTTTGCTTACACAAAACTGCAGATTCAGAGCCTCAGAGACAGACTGCAAAAGTGAAGACTCATGCAGTGAACTAAACTGATGAATACCTCAAATGCTTTATATCGGTATCAGTCACCAGGCAGCAAAATACAGAGTCAGCTCAATTATTAGGTGGGCTGCTTATCAAATTTGAGAGCATTGTGCCACAGAGATCAAGGAGAGGAGATAGTGTGGAAGACAGTTTTGCAGGGAGGGGAGCAAGGAAAATAGTCCCTGTCTTCCCTGAAAGCAAGACCAGACTGCTAACTAGAAAAGAGGTGATGAGAGGAGGAAGAAGAGATCCAAAAAAAAGACTCTTCCAAAGCACAGCCAGGTATTCACATGAACAGGCCCACCGCTTCTCCCTGGGTAAGAGCTTGTGTGTGTTGTGACCAAAACACACTGAGCCAGGCTGGATGCTGCCATGCCTCCTGGACAGTGTGTGCAGGCTGCTGCAGCACACGGCCACCGGCTCCTGCCTACATCAACCCTGAGCACAGGTCTCTGTGGCTACATCTGCCTTGGGTGGCTCCCCGAGAGCAACAGCATTTCAAATCCCCAGGTTTGAAATCCCAGAATCCCTATTATTCTGGATAATGCAGAAATTTACAGCATAAATCCCATTCCAGAACAGCTATAAAAAAAAAATATACATATGCATTTACATATATATGCAACCTAAATTGAGAGAGGTAGCAAACGTTCTCCTTCAACTTTTTTTCTCCCCATCATCCAGACTTGCAACCTGATTACACCATGGGCTTCTGCACAGCGCAACAGGACAACAGTGAAACCATTCATTTTAAATTTCCTAGTCTTGCCCAAAATCTCAGCCGCTAGTTATCAGAGTGAACATAAGCCAACTAAGCAGGACATAACAAAAAGTACTACCACATCCAATAACTTTTGTTATCACTTTGCAAATGGCTCTGCATAAGTGTAGGGGTTTGTTTTGGTTTTTAAATTAGGTACAGAGAGAATAGTTTAGTTTGGTGGTGCCAGACAAAGTCATTTTTCTTCACATTCCCTAATGGGTAACTAAATCCAGAGCATAATGACAATTCCAACTCTGGGAAGACTTCAACTACATGCACTGAAAGAAGTCAAATATTTCTCAAAGATGATAAACTCAGTATCTCTAGAAATCAATTACATAGTTGTCCTACAACACCTCTCCTTTAAACTTTTCAAAACCACTACTTACATTATCTTGGATAAAGAAATGTTTAGGAAAGATCTCAGCTACACTCATGAGAATATTCTCTATTTTTACATATTTTTACCAGCACACACTCATTCTCATCTTGACTGTACAGTTCTCACACACAGTTAACGCAGTGAATCGGCAATTATTTTTCTAGTGTCTCTAAGTGTCAAGATTAATTTCACTATCACTGGTAATAAAATGGTTTCAAATGACATCTTTAATCAGCAAGTAAGAATGCACTCCTCCAATAGAGACAAGCTGTCACAAAAGGTCACCAAAATGTGACAGGATGGAAATTACGTTTGTAACTTCAACTGAAATGTTAATTCCTCTTTAAGTGTTTTTTCAACTATGTTCAGATTTTAAAATAAGGAGATGTAGATCTGCAATGAAGTTTCGTTTTTAAACCAGTAGTATCTGTAAAAGTTTGCTCTATAATCTCAAAAGCAAGCAGATATTTACAGGCAAACAACAAGTGTTTTTTGCTGTTTAACTTTCCACCACATGGTCAATCATTCGGTCTCTTTATCAACAAATTAACATGAAAAACTAGTATGAATAGAAACCATTTCATAACAGCAAGATTGTATTTTTGCCAGAGATTAGTTTCAAAAAAAGCTCTTTAATTTATAATTCATCCACATTTGCATCATGTTTTCCTTGTATCTCAGAGCTATATCCCAAATCACTTAAAATTACACTTAAAAACGTCTAATTTGAATCACTGTTCCTTTAACAGTCAAGCTCCACTACAGGTTCTCTCCTCATTGGCTGGTCTTGTCTTTACATTAAACTATAGAGTAAATCCACAGATATGTGAAAATGCATGGAATTGTCATCTACCTTGCAATTATGTGCAGAGAATTAGCTATTCCAGTGCACACTCATTCTTAAAATGTTCTGTTTTGTAAAGCCACCAGCACCTTTTGTATAAATAAGAGATGGTCTGTATGTGGTATGTAGAAATACGGTCTTATAGTTGAAAACACATTTGGAATGCACCTCAGCTAAAATACCCCTTGCCCATATAGACTACTCCGTGCCTCTAGAGGGTTCCCCTCAGTCTTATTCTAATCAGAATCAATTCCTGATTATTAAAACAACGCTGAATAAAGGCCCTTAATACACACTTTGCCTGAAATTGCAAGTAAGAAGAGCTATTTGCTAAATACGAACAACAGATCAGAAAGATCTTTATTCAAAATCATGCACTGATGTCTCACTCACAGCACAACATGGCCTACATGAATACCACTGTGAAGTCTGGTTCAGCCTTTGCAGCTCACTCCTTGCTGCTCATGAACAAGTCCTCTTAGCCACAACACCTCTGTTATAGAATTAACACTTCCCAATATTTGCAGGCATAGTAAAAGCCCAAATTCCTTGCAACTGAATTAAAGAATTAGGAGGCTATGCAACTCGAGAAAAATCCTTAGAACTAACATCCTTTGCAAAAGCAAGGCTTTTAAGGCAAGATGAAAACTTCATCAGGACGAGTCAGGCAATCTAGGTATGCGCTCCGAGAACATAATCCCAAAATGCCCTGCTGTCCCAAAGACTGACTCATCTGAAAAGAAAGCAGAAGCACCCAGCTACCAAGCTCACACTGTGTGGCACCCATCTTAAAGCAATCTTGTGTGAAGAATTCATCCCTACAGTCTAGCAAAACTTGAAGTATCATCAAAAAATACATCTTCCCCCAGTGGTATCTGACAATTAGCCAACAGTATCTGACAATTTGCCTTCATTACCAGTTCACCTTTCTTGCGTATCTTGATCCTCTTCAAAAGATCAGGGCTTTTTCTCCATAGTTTGAATTGGTATTTTGGTTCAGTAGTAAAACTATGAGAATGGTACATCTTTCTGAAGGCAAAACTTAATTTCTGCCCATCTCCCTAATATCACCTTTTAATTTGACTTTTTATCATGATTATTTATTATTATTACCACCACCATAAGGCCAACATGAAGAGGCAATAAAGTTATCCCCAGCAGGACAGGTACAACACCAGTATCAGATACCTGAGTACCCAGAGCACATGAGGGGTCTTGAAGTTAACTCTCAAAACCACAAACCAATGTGATTTTATTTATAGACTAAAACAGAGCGGCTGCAAGAAAGTTGCAAATCTACTTCTTCTGAACTAGCAGTGGCAAATTCATTAGCTACATGGAGCAGTATTCCTAGAAACAACCACACTTGTGTTATGCTACTCAAATACAAAGAAAATATACCCTTTTAGACACTGCCTAAAGAATCAAGGTGGTATAAGAGATACAGATTGTTCCATGTTAGAAAAGCTGAACCCAGAAAACAGACATTTCCAAATTTTTCTAACGCACTCCCCAGCAAGTTACAGTTTCTCTAGGACAATCCAACAGTAGGAACACAACAGGTTCACAGCACTCATGTTCCTAGGGGAAAACAGCAAACATGAAGGTATTTCACAGCAGAACACAAGTAACAAGATTTGTGTTATCAACTGAAAATGTTCCAAAAGGAATTCCTTAAAAATGTATTCCACCACAATATGTAGTGAAGCACAGATCAGACAGCTGCTGCTTGAAAACAGGAAAGCTTTTAAAGACACCACAAAAGTCTCAATGAACAAACGTTGTGCTGGTTTTCAAAACATGATATGCTTAAACATTACTCCCAAGGAGAGAGACACTACCCATACTACAACAGACTACATATGACTTTGGACAACTTGGATATAGGCCAGTCGACGTTAGAAGGCGACTGTTCTATCTTTTACCATTAAACTCTTTTCTAGAAGTTTTGGCAAGCCTGCCTTTTACTTTCTTTCATTATAGCTCTTCAAAACAGTCCATTGCGACAAAACCTCACCCAAAGTTTCTGGAATGTTTCTCCTTTCTCTTGTCACATCTGAGAGCCTAATTATCGTTCCTTCTTTCCGTTCAGTTTTGAAACGTAATCGTCCAGACTCTTCATCATCATCCTCCTCTTCATCAGATTCTTCTTTTGTTTCTTCTTGAAGTTCCAGAGATTCAATAGCTGCCTGAATCACAAAATACAGAGGACATGCAAACTGAAAAATCTACTTTTTTATGATCAACGAGTATCAGAAGACAAAGTTTTCTTTAACGGTCCCATTGTACAAATTTTGCTGGCATTATACATTATTCTCATGCATAGTGAACATTTAAGAGTTTGGTGAATTTTTTTTAAATATGAAGATATGAATTCTATAATAAATTATATAGCAAAATCTACTGAGAAAACCCATTTTGCTGCAATATTTAAGGGAATATGTAAACTCCAGTTAGAACCACCATCTGATTAGTAGCTACTTTTGCACAGAGTGACATTTTATCACTGAATTGACCCAGATGCAAACCAGCGATACTACCAGATTCAAGTAATACGAACATTAAATCATTAATTTTTTTTTTCACTTGTTAACAACTGTCGGTAGCATGTTGTTAAAAAACCCAACAAAAACCAGATAACCTTACATCTCAATTTTATTCCTCTAGGTATGTATAACTGTACTTGTCTTTACTTTTTCTACTCCTTGAATACTTCCCACATTTAATTCAGCAATTGACGAAGAGAATGGAGAACAGGGTTGGATAAAATTTGAGTATAATAAATTTGTATATTGGAATGCTACTCCCTTGTCCTCATTTACTTGCCAGTTCTCTCTAACAGAGAACATTCATTTAGATGAAACAATGTCCCAAATGAAAATGGATCACACTCCTTCAATTAAAAAAAAAGAAAAAAAGAAAAAAAAATCAATTTCATTTTCCTGTGCTGGCATGATAAAATTAATGTTCAGAATGTTACACAAGTTATATTTGATTTCTAGGGTTGAAAATTAGAAGTGTTCTAATATAGTACAATTTTCCGTAAAATATTTGGTTAGTGTGTATTTGGTTATTTCTTGTACAGGCCTACTTGCTCATTTCTTAGAGTCTGCCCATGTATTTTAATTCTTTGCAAAGCCACTAAATACATCATAACTTTTATGTTGCTTGAGGACAGTTAAAAAACGAGTGAAATATAACATGCAAAAAAATTGTTTAATCTTCTAATTAACCAGATTGGTGCAGTAATTTATAGGAAAAAGGCCCAGCAAGTGTGTCAGTCAGGTGGACAGGTACTAAGTCACAAATGAAGGAAAAGAATTACTGGCAGAATGGTGCAAGAGATTGCAAATTTCCTTGTCCAGCAGCCCAACTTCATCCAAAACCAAAAAGAAACATGGGAAGCAAGATCAGAGACAGGATCTGGCAAGGCAGTTTCTACTTTAAAAGACAGCACACCATATGAACTCAAGCTCAAAGCTTCTCCAACTTTGGTCTGGTGAGTAAGTGATCTGTATACTTAGTTACTGGGCTTTAATGGGCTACTGATCCCAAGTTATTTTCATTTTATTATCTCCTTATCTCAGAATGTGTTTTATCCATTCCAGGCAAACATTCAAGCACTACATTTCCTGAGCTCACAAAAATGCTTTGATATAGCTAAGAGAATAGCCAAAGTTCACAAAAAGCTTTATGGTACGTATTTTAAAAATATATTTACTTTTATAAAACAACTTTACCGTATCAAAAAATGCAGCTAAAAACAACAGACAGGATAGCAGGCCAAAAAAAAAAAAATCCTTCAAGACAAAGAAATCCAAACCTCAAAAGCAAACCCAAATTGAGCACAACTGGTCTGATTAACATAACCATGTATAATCAAAGCACCTCTGAGGACAGGCAGTGGAGACTCACGGAACAGAGGAGGGATGTTAGCAAGGAAAGATACTAAGGTGGTTTAATAAAAACAAACAAAAACAAGGGAGAAAGACAGGGTTAGCATTTTACTTTCAAAACAGGGACTCCCAAAAGAGAAAGGAGTAGCAATATCTCTATCAAATCTATGTTATTTAAATATCATAAACCCCGTAATTTTACTGTGCCAATGTTGTCTTTAAAAACTTTCCCTTCAGGATCAGGATCTGAAAGTCAGAACTGGAGTGCCTGTTTTGCGAGACATGCTCTTTCACTAGACTGAGCCTCCTGCTTTACTTTAGAGCATAAACCCCAGACACATCCACTCTCTATGTCCATGCCCCTTCAAAGCTACGTTGGAATTCCAGTTTTTATTCATTGAAGACTGGTATCAGTCATGTAATCTCATCTGTGAGTGCAAAACTTATTCACGCAAGGCTCTACGTGTGGCTCAGACTGCAGAATCAGGACTAGAATGGTTAATGCAGTCTGCATTGTCCTGAAAAATTTTGCAATGCTTTAATGCAATGCTACAGAAAACACCTGTGGAAACTCTGTTGCCTTTTGATAATTACTAATTCTGGGAGGGAAAAAAAAATCCATTCTAAAAAAAAAGCAAGCTGTAACAGACAAGGCAACTACTTTCCTATGCAATAATAAAAAACATTTCTAGACCAGCACTATTCTGTTCTTAACCACTTATACCAATTCTCTAGTCTTCTGGGTCTAACTCACTTTATTCATCAGTATAATGCTCATGCCACCTATTAACAAACAACAGCTGTACAAGCGTTAAATATCAAAGACAAAAAAAAAAATCAAGGAGCTAATGAAAAAGCAGGCACCAAGGAAAGGCAGTGCTCGAGAATGCTAACTGACCCATGTCCAAGTCTGATTACACGTATTATTGAGGGATTTGTATTAGTTGCGATGGAGACACAAACATGTCTGACAGCCAACCATATGTTCTCTACATATAGCTCCAGGAAAGGTTATCTGAGCTGTGTAGGAGCATACACCCTTACCCCGCAATTTGTTCAATAGTTGTAGCATGCAAGACTTCTTTAGCTCATCTTTTCCAACTTCCAGCCTAACAGGACAAGTTGTTTTGCCAAGATCAGAGTATATGAATGGGTTCTATGTTTCAAAATAAATTTATACAGGAAAAGACACAAGTGCAGACATAGAATTAATACATACTAGTACTTACAGAATTCTATTTAATACCTGAATACTATTTAATACATTAATATCTCTGAATATACATAAACAGTCCTTGAACAGCCACTTGAGGTCACTTGACTGGACTAGCCAGTCAAGGCTTCTTAGCAGCTCTCCTCAAAGGGAGCTTAACATTTCCCATTATGACACCTTGCACAAAGCTACCGAAGAGCTTTGCTGACTCTGCCTTATGAAGAAAAAGAATGACCTTGCTTCTATCACAAGGTCAGAGTTTTCTGCCATCCTCATTAAATAATTACGCCATAAATCCCAGTCACTGTCCAGAACTCCCCATGCTGGGTTATGATCTACTATGGAGCAAGAGTGAGTGATCCTGCTCCAAACAGCTTGCCACGCAGTTGCAGGACTGATAACAGACATAGCCCAAGGAAAGCAGGAGAAAACACTAGTCAGCATGATGAACACTGATCTTAGCACAGGATCCTCCTGAACATGGGACCGTCAAGTGTTCTGGAAAGCTTCATGCCAGAGTGCTAAGATGTACAGAAGAGGTAAGCATTGTAAAGGCTAAACCAGATCCCTTCCATGTGAAACACTACAAAGGCGAAACAAATAACTTTTATTAACTAGCTAGAAAATAAGCAGTGGAGGCTTCTACCAGAGGTTAATACTGAAGCAGCAGCAATTGCTCAATCCTAAGGGATCAAGAAATAACAGAGGATAATAAATAAGAGGATGTTACACCTATTTCAAGGGCACCTCCACTTCACAGATGAAAAATGGGAATAAAAAACAAACCTAAAAGCTTCTAAATATGTTTAAAACTTGGCTGTTTTGATTTGCACTCTTTTCATCATTTTCCTCCAGGCTGACAGGTAGTGTCTTCAAACTCAAACAAAAGAACTAAAATGCCTAAGTTTTGACTAAATACAGATGAAACAATTCAATAGACAGACACATTGGCCTTTTTTTTCTAAGTTTGTATTCTATCAAAAGAAAAGCAGAAAAGCAGTACGCAGCACTTCTTCGTGAAATGTTTTCTCGATTAAAGTCCTCATCATTTCTTATCAGCATAACCCAAGACATGGTTTAAATTTATGCAATGAGAAACCCCTTATCATAGACTTCACAGGAGATTAGTTCTAATATAAAACGAAGAAATTACGAATTCTAATTTTAGGAGGTTACATTTTTATGAACATTTCATAGAAATAATTAGTGATATTATTACTCTAAAAATATTTAGGACATGGTAACTCATATAACTGACAGTTTTACCACACCTATTTGCTGCTGAAACTTCTGGGTATTGGGTTTTGCTTTGTACCTTAGGAAGGCAAAAATACTTTCTGGAGCATTGCTACATTTTTCAAGGAAGCTCGACAAAGTGTTATTTATTCAAAATCCAAGTTCTAAGCACTTCTTCAAATTAAATATCAAGTGAAAAAGCATGCCTTGAACCTGATCTGGCCAAGGACACGAACTTTTCCTGCCTCTTCCCTACATGTCCCACCCGAGTACTACTCTTAACAGGTCTCTTACCTCTAGTTTCCCCCCCATCATGTTCCAATTCCCCAGCCAGTCAGCTTTTCTCTTGGTTTACAAAATTTCTTCATGCAATATAGTAAGAGGCTTTATTTGGTTTTAATGTGGAAACTGCTTAAAATACAACACTAGCAAACACTTTATCAGCTCGCTCTCAGTTATTCAGATGCCAACTTTCAATCAAGAGATAATAATACTATTTATTTGTACCGCATCTATTACAGCTCCATTCTTGTGTTGCATTTTCTACAGGAGAATGCCAACAATTACCCTTGTTTACAAGCAGGAGGCATGCATCTAACCATGTAATAAACAGAGGTGCATACTCTACAAAGGTTATCTCTCTTGGTGGTATTCTCATTTGGAGAGTGCAATTGTGAGCCTACAGACAAATGTAAATAAGCTACATATGAAATAATAAAGGAATAAAAAGATGGCACTATCTATCTTGGAAACAAGAAACCTGTGGCAATCTGCAAGCCATCAGAATAAAGCCAGAATGTAGATTAACTGAACAAAAATGTGGCCAAAACGTTGACATTACGATTAACAAATTCTCTAAAAGGTCTATTAACAAAACCAATTAAAAACTTGCATTAATAGTATCTTTTGAATGAAAAGAATTTAATTCTGAATTGGACAAATTTAGACAACATGATTATTACAGAATTCTCACTAGTTCATACTCTAAAAGTGAAGCTGTGCTTTTTTAAAGCAGTAAGTTTGACAGAATCCCAGCTATTTACTTAATTTTACATGATGTGCAGTGCTTTCATCATCCATACAGACTGTGGCTGCAGATAGCACAAATGCATCAGGCTGCTTTTAAAACACCAGAAGAAAAGTGTATGTAACCCAGTGAATGAACAAAAAGCATTGAAGTGTTTCACAGTTCTTTGGAAGGGTAGATTTAATACTTAGGAAATAGGAAATTAACCACATTTAAGGTATATTTGGTGTAAGATGCCATGCTTGCAACAGCGAAGACTGAACAACGCAGGTGACCCCTTTCAATGCATCTCTCTTCACCCACCAAAGAATGTTGTTTTATTATAATAAGTTTAATACAACTACAGAATATCACAGCACACCCATTTGTTAGAACTTCACAGAAGAACACTGCTGTGTCTTTGAGGAATTAATTTCCTGATGAGTTAAAGCTCCGAAGAGGGAACACACTCTGACTACACTTCTCAGCAGGTAATCCATTCAATCCTATTTAATTAAGAACTGGACTAAAAGTAATATTAAAGCAGATTACTGGTGAGGAAAGGAAAAAAATCCCACATCAAAAACTTGCTGCAAATTAATAACAGGTATGATACCACTGTTCCAGGCTATAACCAGTGAACGTATACCTGACAGTTTTTGGCATAACCCTTCTTCTTGCAAATGAAGCAACTCAACCTTTTTCCTAATCGAAGAATTAAGATAAGTTTCACCGAAATTTCAGTCCCAATACAACTTCTTTCAAAACAACAAACAATCTGACCTTTCCCTTTCTAACATACAGAAGCTCACACTCCTCCTCAAAGTGGGATACCCAAGAACTGTATCTACACTCCCAACAGCAGCACATTATCCATCTGGAAAGTGAGGCACCATAGCTATTAGAGATTTAACAGACAGCATGCAGTATTACTATCATTCTTCTACTCAAAAGGGTCCCTGAAGTTTCTAACGTTGAAGCTAAGATGAAATATGGACATTTTGAGCTCTCCCTTATGATTTTCATCCCAAGGGGAAGAGGGGATCTGATGTATCTGACAATATAGATGCTATCACAATTCATCTTATACAAAGAGTAATACCACCAATAATTCAACATTGGCAAAATTGCATCAGTTCTTTCCCAGCAATATGGACAATTCTACAAATTCAAATTCTGAAACAACTAGTTATTTTAAGTTTCAATTAAATCCACAACATACCTCTTCTGATTCATTTGTTATTGTCTGGGATTCTTCCAGGTCCTCATCAGCTGTATATTCTTCTTGTTCTTCCATTGCTTGCTCGTTATATGATTGCATGTAATCTTCATCCTAAGGCAATAACACAAGAAGGTGAAAAGATATAGGCCAACTTTACAGAATCACAAACCCGTTAAGAGATGGGGTATGTATATATTGTTACTATTTCCAGAACTGGAAGAGAAGTATTGTGTCTGTCACAACTGTCAATTATAACTGACATATCATATAAGGTTGTATTGGGTTTGCGTGGCCAGGTTTTGGTAGTGGAGGGGCTACAACGGTGGCTTCTGTGAGAAGCTGCTAGAAGGTTCCCCTATGTCCGATAGAGCCAATGCCAGCCGGCTCCAGGACAGACCCGCTGCTGGCCAAGGCCAAGCCCATCAGCGTTGGTGGTAGCGCCTCTGTGATAACATATTTAAGAAGAGGGGGGAAAAAAACCCAACTGTGCAACAGCAATTGCAGCCGGAGAGAGGAGTGAGACTGTGTGAGAGAAACAACTCTGCAGACACCAAGGTCAGTGAAGAAGGAGGGGGAGGAGGTGCTCCAGGAGCTGGAGCAGAGATTCCCCTGCAGCCCGTGGTGAAGACCATGGTGAGGCAGGCTGTGCCCCTGCAGCCCATGGAGGTCCACGGTGGAGCAGATATCCACCTGCAGCCTGTGGAGGACCCCATGCTGGAGCAGGTGGAGGCATACAAAGGAGGCTGTGACCCCATGGGAATCCCGCACTGGAGCAGGCTCCTGGCAGGACCTGCGGACCCGTGGAGAGAGGAGCCGACGCCGGAGGGGAGTGAGCGAGCGGCTGCGTGGTGCTTAGTTGCCAACTGAGGTTAAACCACGACAAGTCTGTTCCTGAAGGACTGCACCCCATGGAAGGGACCCCCACTGGAGCAGTTCATGAAGAACTGCAGCCCGTGGGAAGGACTCACGTTGGAGAAGTTCGTGGAGAACTGTCTCCCGTGGGAGGGACCCCATGCTGGAGCAGGGGAAGCGTGTGAGGAGTCCTCCCCCTAAGGAGGAAGGAGCAACAGAGACAACGTGTGATGAACTGACCACAACCCCCACTCCCCGTCCCCCTGCACCGCTCAGGGGGAAAAGGTAGAGAAAATCGGGAGTAAAGTTAAGCCCGGGAAGAAGGGAGGGGTGGGGGAAGGTGTTTTTTTAAGATTTGTTTTTATTTCTCAGCATCCTACTCTGATTTGATTGGTAATAAATTAAACTATTTTCCCCTAGTCGAGTCTGTTTTGCCCATGACGGTAATTGGTGAGTGATCTCTCCCTGTCCTTACCTCGACCCATGAGCCTTTCCTTGTATTTTTCTCTCCCCTGTCCAGCTGAGGAGGGGGGGTGGCTTTGGCAGGCACCTGGCATCCAGCCAGGGTCAACCCACCACAAAGGTATAATTAGCAGGGCTTTTAACTAGACAATAATTTCAATGTTATCAAAACCATAACCAAAACAGTTTTCATTCAGATCCCAGCAATGTCATCATAAAGATCCCATCTACTACTGTTTGCCCCATCTGCTTCTGTACTTCTACATCCTTTGACTACAAATTCATGAAGCAAACACTGCAGTACTTTCTTACCAAAGGAAACATGCACCTATAGCACATATACATCAACACCAGATTTTACCCCATCAAAAATAGAAACATTCTTAAAACATTCTGCAAGTGCTTACATATGAGTGGGTGCGATTCTGAACAATTATGAACAAAAAACGAGAGCAAAACCTTTCCTAAGTAAGTCTGCTTGTATTTTAAAACATCTCATTGATCACATACAGTTTTAATTAAGATTAAATCATTTCACTAGCAATTAGAGCCAGTGCATGTTCTCTAACACACTGCTTAAATTATATTGAATTATGCAGGTGACATTTTCTGAACTAACCTCCAATCTCTATTCAGGTTTAGACAGTTCTCAGTTACAAAAAAGATGAACGAGCAGGACATCAATCACTTTGGGATATTAGCACCTTAAAGATGTCTTTAGCAGGTCAATAATCTTTTCACCTTCGAAGGACTTTATCAGATCTTGTCTAAAGCCTGGATAAAAGCTTTTGCATTAAGTACTTCTAACAATTGGCAGTGTATCTCCACCACACAAAGCTGTTTTCTTCCTTAAGGATACAATCCTCAAGGTCATGATTCTCAGCTGCCTTCCAGCATGACAAAGGAGCATTACCTACCGCCAAACAAGCTGTCAACACAAACTTTGTCACAGCCTAGATAAAGAAACTGGCAGACAGTGATAATAGGTCTAATTTCCCCTCCTCCCTAGGGAGGTAAACAGATTTCAAATCAGACTAAAACCCTATGCACGTGAAGCAATGTTATCTTTGAAGATACAATAGAAAGAAACTCACTGGAAATTCATCTAGGGGTTCATTGATTTCAAGGTCTAGCACTTCATCTTCTTCTCCAGGCTCTTCCCCATACTCTATTTGGTCTTCTGTCAGTTCAGGATCATTGCCTTCATAATGTCCTTCCTCTGCATACTCTGAAGCATATACTTCGGGTGCTTCAGATTTGTCATAAACAATTTCATCCTCCCCTTGGTCATACTCAGACTCATGTTCTATCGATTGGTCGTTGATGGTCTCAGAGAGTTCGTATGATGTAAGTATGCCAGACGTAGCACTGAGGCTAACTGTGACACCTTGAGAACTATGGTATGGGGGGAAAAAAAATTCAGAGGTTGAAGCATAACAGTCAACTACTTACAAAGATTTAGCAAAACAAAGCCAACGAATACAAATTCTCTAAGTTGATGGACAAAATTATACCTCACACACTATTTGATTTCATGCCATATTCTCATAATGCATACTGTACTGCAGCTTATCACCAGCTGCAGGCTATTTGACCAGGGGAATCAAACCAACCAGATGGTTTAGCAGGTCAAACTGGCAAAAGTCCTGCTTGGTAACCAAAGCAGACTGGATTCAATTTTAATTCACAGACTAACAAAAAATACACAAAATTACTACAACTGCATCTGTTTTCCCAATCTTTCAGAATATGACAGTAAATTATTTTTTATTAAATGTATTAATATTGTTCCTTCTTGATTATCTTGAATTCAAACTTACATTTTTATGACAGATTTAATGTTCTACTTAACATAATGTAAAATATGTAGTCAAGAACTGTCATTTAAATGCCTAAGATTTATTCTAACTTAGTAACAGCACTGGCATAGACACTGAAAAAAACCCAATCGATATAAAAACAAGTTTATAATCTGAAGGATAAGCAAAACTCAGAATTTAGTATTTTCATAAGTTTGGGGGAACAAGATTCAGGCAGCTTTGTGCTATCTGCTCAAAGACAGAGAAGATTTAACACAAAAACAAAGACATTATGCAGGATTACCATTATCCTCCCAACTATAGAGGCATAAATGAGTTTGAATGGAAATAAAGGAAGAGGGGGAAGGAATGGAGCAACGCTCTTACTCCCTGGCAATAAAACTGCTAAAAATGCAAGATTTGTCTACAGAAACCTGCTTCCACTGAGCAATATTATCACACTTTAGATACTTTCTCATCACTTGTGCAGTCACATAGCCATCCCTGCTGCCCAGGGCTCACAAGGAGGAAATCCAAAGAAACAGCAAGGACTGTAACTGGGATTCCCCATTTTGAAGGGAACAGTCCAATTTTACTCCTGCAGGGAGTAAAACAGCAGCCAATGGAGAGATTGATGGTCTGAGGTATTTCACCACACCCTCATCAATCCGACACAGGGACAGGACTCCTTATCCTAATTCCAGACAAGGACAGAACAGAGATCTCAGAGCAACATATGTATATATGTTACACACACATATATATATTCATACCCCTTCAGACGACATGCCTGCACAGCATGCAACAAGTAAAGGAAAAGCTGGCAAAACACACAGGCCATTAAAAGCAGCAGTGGTACTGCACCACTTCTGCATCACAAACGCATCTTCCTTCCCCCTTCAGTTCAGCTTGAGAAGTAAAAATGTCAAGACACTCATTTTGACTTGTAATGCCCATAATTCAGTTGTGGAGCTGTATCACCACAGGGTATTCGCAGGGCAGGATCCTCAGTAAACTCCCATGGAAGTACCTGCTCAACCCTATAAACTCTGTACAAAATTTTCTGCTGTGTAATTGTATACAAATACTTAATCCACAAATCAAGCCTTACAAACTATGAAGCTCCCCTCCTCAGGGTCTTAGGAGTTAAGATATATTTTTTAAAAGAAAGATGGCAGAAAAGGACTTCACAGGAGAAGGAAGCCTACAACGATACAGAGCTCTTGTTCTGTGCCTTGTTGGTAAGGCACAGGAGACAACACAGTTTCTTCTTTATAAGCTTTTTTTATAGATTTGAGTTAAATTTATTAGATTCAAACAAAAAATCATTTTACTGAAATGCTAACAATGCTACTGAACACATTATATATCTATCATTAAGTAGCTGGCTAGGTAAAAAGCAAAACTATTTTAAGTATATACCAATAACTTCAGTTCAGTAGTTACTAGTTATCAGTAGTCATTAATAGCTTAGCGTTATTCAAAACACAAGACTTAGAAAAGAGATACCGAAATTCTTGTTCCTCTTCATTGTCACTTTGCAGAAGATCATCATTCAGCTCTTCATCTGACAAGTCTGACTGATTCTAGGTTTCAGAAAAAGGCAATCATGAACATAAAAAAGGATATAAACTTTTAACTAACTAGGTACTGAAACTATTGAAACTTCTGAGCGCTAAGTATTTTTAATGAAGAATGCATCCCAGACTAAGACCATATCTTCAATGAAATTACCTAATTTGATGAGAAAAAAAATACACAAGACAACAAATCTGAAAATAAATGTTTGACAGTCTTACGGAAATTTATAAAACTCAATTTTGCCTAGCTATCAACGCTTTTCACTGATGCATTCCCAAATATAGCCAAAGACGACAACTCACTTAAGAAATACCAGGAAGAAAGGTTAGCTTTAGTGCTCTTAACTGCCTTGTGACCTTGATGCATTAGGCGAGTCAAGAAAAACTATAAGTCACTGCAGTTTCTAGAAAGCAGAGATACTTAGGAAACTGGAGGAAAGGATGTGATGATATGAAGAAAATTGAAAAACCATAATTAGTTTGTAGGTGAAGAAAAAAATAGAAGAAAATATCATGCCTTTTCTGAACTCCTCCTAAATTTGTCTATCATACTTCCAGTTGTTTTTTTTTTTTAAATAATTACCCACTAGCAATTGATAACTGCAGTTTTCCTCAGCAACATTATTTCCATCCTCTAAAGTAATAGGGGCAGAAACGTTATACAAGGGTAGATTTATCTAAAAGTACTGGGATGAGATTAAGTAGAAGAAAGTTCAGCCTACATAGCTCAGGGAAAACTTCCTGAGAAATCTATTATTACTCCACCATATGAGTCCATACCCACAGATACTGCTTGGAGCCCTGTAACATGGCAAACTGAAATTAAGAATAGAAAAAGCACAAGAACACATCATACATTGGAGAAATCTAATATTGGTTAGTATTCATACAGAGAATTTTTTTTTTTTAAGATAAGTAAGTAGCTTTATCAACTCACATTTCAACTACAAAGATACATGCAATGTTAACTGCTTATGTTTTTGATAATTGCCGAACACACATCTGCAATCCCTATCCTGGAAATTTTATTTTTTAAACCAGTACATGAGACAAAGGAACTTCCTACCTTTAATAGGGATTACTTACAGAACAATTTCAAGAAGCTAACTTCCAACATTCAGAGCGTGATTATAAAAAATTACATCAATTAAAACTCAACTTTTACCAGATCTGGGTTTCTTAAAAAACCTATTCATCTCCAACTAAAACTTTAAAAACTCACCGTAGAAGAGGAAATTCTCTGCCTACTCATTAGACAAAGTAGTAGTAGATTGTGTGCAGTGAGTGGATCTTTAATAGACGCCACTGATGGCTTTTTTATTTACTCTGGTAAATACTGATGGTATTTTGATGAGTAACTTTTAATAGCCAGGAAACTGGCAGTTGAAGTGAATTCTCCAGAATGCTAATCAGCATTCAGGAGGCATAATCAGTTTTTTTTTGTTTTGTTTTTTTTAATTGTTAAGTCAATATGAACAACAGTGAAACCAATTTTGAGAACCATCTCCTTTTTGAATGATATGTTGAGAAGAAATACCATTTCAGAAAAAAAAAAATTTTCTAGAAGTTTTATTTTAAAAAGTCACACTTGGAGGTACTTCACAAAAGGAAACAGAGCTCTGGGTGCAGAGCGCTCTGGCAACAAGGCAGATCTCAAGTACCTGTGGCTGTCAGGCTTTGGGGAGGTAACTGTAAAATACATCAAGGGCCATACCAAACAACTGAAGTGGGTAAGTTGAACAACATTCACATTTAATATCTGTAACAATTCACTTCAATGCACATCTCTTACCTTTTTGCCAGCTAGCAAATCCTCTCCAAGCAAGTCATCATCAAGTTCACTGGAAAATATTAACAAATTTAAGAAGTTGAACCTTAGAAAACAGAGAGAAGCACCATATAGGGTATACACCTTAAAAAACTAACTTGAGGAGAATTGTCGCCGAGTCTGCACAAAGCTTTCCTTTTAGCAAAGCATTCAGTAAATTGAAAAAGGAGATATATATTTTAAATGAAACAATAGATCACACATATTAAATAAGACTACTGTTGCGCAGTCATTTCATTTCCATCGGCTCTCCTTTCCATATCCCTACAACTATAACACAGCACATAAACCCAGACAAAGTGCAGGCATTTAAAACACGGTTAGCTAGGTCCCCACTCTAGATCCTTCAGTTCATGGCTGTTTGAGCATATTGTCCAAACTGCTGTTTCCCACCTCTCAAGGGAAGAAGCAAGTGAGATCATGATGTCCTGTGGGCGAGACTCAGTCTACAGACCACCATGTGGCCCAAACTCCACTTCAGCAAGAAGGCGCTGGGAGGCCAGCTGACTTGGGAGACACTTAGGCCTGTTGTGTTATGACACTTAGGTGTTTCATAAATACTTTATTCCCTCCTCCTCAAGTTGAGGGTAAGATCAAACAGACATTTGTAGGATGACAGAAGTCAAATGCATGTTTCACCATCTTTTTAAGTGCCATCACATAGCATCTGCCCCATAAATAGGATGCAACACAAAGAACTACAGTCCAGATCAGCTAAACTTTAGGACAACTGCTTAATCTCATTCTTCCTTCAGTGAAAGAATTATCTAGTGACAGGAATAAACAGATTCCTGCTTCTATAATAAACACCTATTACTGACAAATGCCTGTATTAGCACATGCATGTCTTAATACTAAAATAAGATGCCAGTGGTTTGAAATATGAGCTGTTATTCAAGAATGAGACTATTTCTACCTGTGCACCTTAAAAAAACAATAAGAAAAGCTCCAAAAAGCATGCCTTAGATATTACATCAAAATTAAATACCCCAAAGTGAGAATGGGCTATATGAACAGAATAGGAATATGTGTAAGAGATTTAGACTAGATCTAAGGAAGAAATTTTTTACGCTGAGGGTGGTGAAACACTGGCACAGGTTGCCTAGAGAGGTGGCGGATGCCCCATCCCTGGAAACATTCCAGGTCAG